AGCTTGCGCTACAGATGTGCCACCGGTTAGCTCCCGCCTTCCACGTGTATTTTTGTGTTTTGTACATGATTTCGTTTTTCATTCATTGTATAATACAGTTCATCAGTTTGACGATAAGCTAGAATTGATTTTTATGCAGGAAAATAAGGTCTGTTGGCCGAAGTCTGTCGCACAGTTTGCTGACAAGCGGTGGACATTGCGTTTTTGTGTATGTTACGTATGGAAGCGAGATCAGCCCCGAGTTGGTGGATAAGTAATTGAGACGGAGTAGGTATGCTGCAAAATGAGCAAAGTAGTACTGCGTCGGGGCATGTACCCTTCCAGTAGACCTGCGGGATTTCGGATCAGACACAAGCAGTGCATCGTGGCATGCAGCGCACAGCAGCAAGGTAATAGCTTTTCCATTTGTTGCAGCTCCACGGACAACTGATTTCGCGGTCCGCTTGATGAATGCATCTGAGTTATTAGCACAAATCAGTAAGGACGGTGAACTGAGTGCTGGCGCTTCTACGAACTGCATGCTCACTATATTCTATTCGCCGAATTGCGCATTTAGCGCACGAATGGCGCCGTACATTACAATGTTGACGCGAATGTACCCGCGGCTGCGAATCGTACTGAGTGACGCAACCTTCCACAGCAAGTAATTTTTCATTTGCTTTTAAGCTGGTTATTCAGAAGTTTCATTTCATTTGTTCGTATTCAAGTGCGTATAGCACCAGTGAAACCCTCCGAAGTAGTTGGCATAAGACGCGCACAAAAACCCTGGAAATTACGAAAAATTACGCAGGTGTCAGACATCAAGCCTAGCTGTAGCAGTGATTTTTTGCTGATTAACAAAATTCTGAAATAATAATTCGATGTAGGTCCAGTAAAAATATTCAGAGTGACAGTTGTCGCAGTTAACTGTAAAAAGCTCACTTTACAAATGCTTTAGACTGAATAGTCGATACGGCATTGTCGGCACACCAACTGTGCTTCTTTGGGTCGATGGTACCGCTGTTTCTCGAATGGATGAAGCGCCTTTCTCTTATAAAGCATTCCAGAACTATGTGGAAAAGTGGACAGATCTTGAAACCGAATATATGCCAAACGAAACAGTTGAAACTAGCATGCCTGATATTATAAGTACATTTTTAGAGGTTTTTTATTTTTATAAAGTACCATCAGCGCGAAACTGTGCCTCGATTTTTCCAGTTGAGGGATTTGTTGGTTTAGTGTACCATAAATGGTTCCTGTTCTGAACACGGGATTTTTGGATTTGAATCCACCACGGAATAAACTGATCCTTACCTTCTGTGTACGTTGATTTGTTTCGATAGTAATTCCTCTCAGGCTTCTCAAAAAGCCAAACCGCCTTGAGCTTTCTGTCGAGCAAGCTTGGGAAAAGAAACTGTCAACAGCTCTGCCAGTGCATGTTTGATGCTGTCAGCAGTCTGTCTCCAAGTGGTTCCGATTTTTTATACGTTTTTTGCATCTATGCAATGCAAAAACGCATATTTTCGAGGGGCTGTATGTGCGTGTGCGTTTGTGCCGAGTTTTCATCTCGAGATCTACAAAAGCTACAAGGCTGAAACTTTGGCAACTTAATTTACACTTATGTGCGGGTCCCTGTTCTCAAAATGGGCGCTCACGTCCAGATGGTTCTCATGCACGAACATATGAAAATTTTTTTAGCGGGAAAGCGATTTCGGGGACGGCGCAGGCTGAAAGGCTGAAACCCCATAAAGATGTTTCTTGGCCATGTCTAATTCAAAGATTTCAAATTCAGCCTTCACACGCCCCTAGGTCTTACGTACACACATGTCATAGTTTAAACTGGCTTCGTGCCAACTCCAGAGTGAAGCTGACTAAGAAGTTATAAAGAGCTGTAATTTTGCCGCCTTTTTGCCC